CCCCATCAGCGACCAGCATCTGGAAATCTTGTCTCTTGGCAAGGAAGGATTAATCAAAGCTGCTGGGTGTCCGCAGAATTCTCTGTTAGTCTCTTGGCAGCAGCAAATCTTTTCTAGCACAAAACAATAATGGCACAAAATCCTGATGCCAAAGAGTTAATGAAAAGGGCATCAGGCATGGAGGTAAACTTGCAAAATTCAGGTCCCTGGAGTGCTGTTCTGGACTCCTTATAAGAACTGATGAGTTTGGAGGACAGGGCACTGCAGTGCTCACCAGGCTAGCTTGAGCAGCAGCAGGTTTTGAGGGGGGCTGCGAGAAGAGAAGGTAATAAGATTTAAATTTTATCCCTGCCTCCTGCGAGGTGCATGCGCCAGCATGCCTCCACCAGCTGACATCTGACAAGAATGTGTATGAGACTGCTCACCCTGCTGCAGCGTTACTGCCGTTTCTGAGCATGAAATACCTGGCTGCCCGTCTCATGGCTTTGCATGATCCTTGTTGACTCAGTTTACTTTACGCAGAAGTGTGGGACTGCCGGGAACACCGCGAAAGGGACTGCGCTGTTGGGGCAATGGGAGGATTGCATCAACCAAAACTGGTTTTAATTTTTTTCATCTGTCCCATGCTTAAACTTCCCAGCAGTGCACTTGAAAGGAACAGAAGAAAATGTCTCTGTGCTGGTACTTACCAGCACACACTTTTACAAGAGTAAAGGAGCAGAGGGGGGTCTTTCTATCCTTTCAATCCCAGGACTGCAGTATACAATCTGTCTCTTAACACAAAGATGGACCAGTGATGTGAGCAGGGGCCAGAACACCACATTCCCCACATCCTTACGGAGGAAGGCCCCTTTTTTGCTCTCCCTTAGCCCCTCTCCTAGCCACGTGCCCCCAAGGTAGCAGTGACAGTGATGAGTAGCACCGTGCCCAAGCTCCTCTGCAGGACATGGGAGAGAGCTGACCCCGTTTCATGGAGGGGGAAGTACCCTCCAGTTTGATACGAGATAGTGTTGTACAGAAGAGCCATCACTGTAGAGATGTGTAATGAGCTGTAATTCTGCACTGTAGTTTGCTTTAGGCTCCTTTTTGTCCATTCCCTAAAGCTCTGCATCAGCTTTAGAAGCAAGTAGCACAGGGTGCAATGTTGGACAGTTGTCTTTGCACACATCCTGGTACTTAGGGAGGAGCAACTGCAGTCTCCAGGGCTGACCCCATCACAACACTGTGAATAATATAATTTTAGAACTTGGGTAACTTTGTCAAACTGCTTCTAATCTTTTCTTTTCCGTTTCTCCTCTGTTCCTGATGCAAGGAATTGTGGAAATGTGTTCTGCTCCAGTTGCTGTAACCAGAAGGTGCCCGTTCCCAGTCAGCAGCTCTTTGAACCGAGCAGAGTCTGCAAATCGTGCTACAGCAGCTTGCACCCCAGCAGTTCCAGCCTTGATCTCGAACTGGATAAACCCATCACTGCCACGTCAAATTAAAGTCCCAGCCTCGAAGCTGCGGGGGAGCAGCCGTGCCGACTCTTCCCCAACAGACACACAGATTCTCGGTGGGCTGAGGCTGGGAGGATGCGGGAGCCGTGCACTTCGGAGGTTGGGGTGTGGAACACTGCTCGGCAGGACAGACTTCGAGGACGTACCGCTGGATTGTGGGATTCTCCTTTTCCGGCTATTCCCCCTTTCCTTTCTGTCCTATCTGTGTGTATGTGTCTACGCGCGTGTGTGTATATATAATAATATATATATGTTTGTTTGTTTGCTGGAAGATTGTGGAAGTGGGAAGGGAGCTGGTGCCAGAACCAGATCTCTTTTGTATTTAACTGTCCCACTGCTGAACTGTGTTGCAGACAGACAATTTTGTGGAGGAAAGGAGAAGAGGGGAATCAGTCCAGCCAGTGTGCAAAGTGTGAATACCTGTAGCGTCAGTGCTAGTGCTTTCAATCACTCCTATTACTTCCAGACAAGAAACTGCTGTTTGGGAACCTGTTGCTGCTAGAAGAAATGGGAATCTCTTTCCCAAGAGAGCACTCTCCCTCTCTGTTCTTAGAGTGGGCTTAGTTATCCTCGCTGCGTGAAGGGGGAATCAGTCACGGATTTCCATACTCAGCGGCTCTGTACTTGCACACACAATCGATGTGTTTTGTTGCCATCAGCCCTGCCGCTGTGGCTCTGAGCGGAAACACCTGGACAGCGCCGGCTAATGAAAGTGCGTGCTTGTTTGCGAGAGGTGAGAAGGGGACTGAACAGGCTGCAGAGCTGAGATGGGTTTTACACTGGCATCTCTCTCTGAAGTTCTGTAAATGCAATTCATTATTTAAAACCGAGTGGGAAAATAGAAGACCTTTGACTTCTATCCTTGCCCCATTTGTAGGATGGTTTACTCGATGCAAAGCTACTTTTGGAGCAGAGCACTTGTCATGGTTCATCCAAACAGGCCGTCGTGCTGTTGTTCAGACTCGCACTTTAATGAGACTATCCAAACCAATGAAAGAACAACTGTGATACGCTGGTGTTTTCGCTGGGCTCGGTCCATGAGGAGTGCACTGGTGCTTGTAATACTCCTGGGATGTCTCCTCCTTTTTCAGTCTGTATTCGATATACTCCAGATAGGAAAAACCTGCCTGAGGATTATATAAAGACCTGAAAAATACATCATGGATTCCCCTTCTTCCCTCTGCCCCAATCTGAGTCGCTTTTAAAGTCACCTCATTAAAGTGTGAATCTCTTGAATATATGTTTTTAAATGAGTGTTAGGTACTCATCCCCTTTTCCTTTTGATAGAGCCTGCTTAGTGCAGTTAGGCAAGGAAGAGATGTAGATCCTGCTTCACAATGCATTGCCTAGGCAAAGTTAAAATTTCTTGTGTGATATTCTCAAGAACAAAAAATCCTGCTGGAGTATTTGAGAGTTTTAGACACAAAAAGCTCAAAATCTAAGAGACCTTGGGAAAGGAGTGCTTCCCTTCCCTGGAATGTCAGAATCACAAAATCTAAAGTGAGTATCACACAGAGAAAACCATCTCAGAATATTTGTTAGGTCTGATGGGGAAAAGAAATGTCAAGGTATTTTATTTTTGACTTCGAACTTCGCACACCCTTTGCAAGAATCATTACACTGCTGCGGTGTAAGCTGAAGATTCACGAGACAAAAATGTATGTCCAGGAGGCTGGTTTAGCGTAGCAGCCTGTGTCCTTACGGGAAGGGGTCTGGTAACGAAGCATCTCGGGATCTCCCCTGGTACGGGTTTTGAAATGTTTTTCAAACCATCAGGAGGGAAGAGCAAAGAAGAAGATGGGTTTTCCAGTGGAGTTGTATCTAGAAGTATTTGTTCCTAAACCAGTGCAGCAAATATCTGGAATAAAACTGTAGGCATTGCTGTTCCGTGTAAAGCAGAGACTGCTGGAGCAGGAAAAGGATAACACACGGCTCCCGTCTCTGGCTCTTCCACGGAGGGGGCGATTAGAGGTTTGACTTTAGGGGACATGGTGTAGTTCTGCACACTAACATTGTGTGGGTTTGTGGTGCAAACAGACAGTCAAAAATAAGTCTAAGATTCTGCAGTTCCTAATGACAGGTGCCAAGAGGTTATGATACGGGTTTTTGGGGTCTGTGATGTACAGTGTGAATAAATGCTTGCAGCTCTTAGTCTTTTTTTGATCGATGAAGCACTTTTTTTAATAATATTATTTTTCTTTGTATGTAAAGGAGGAACCAGTATCTCTCCATAGCTGTGTATATATAACCCTTCTCTCCTAAAGAGAGTAAAGTGCTCCTATATTTTTCATTTTTTGTCAAAGCGAGAAGTAAATACTTTAGAATTGTTAAATATATAAATAAAAGTGAATAAAGTTTAGACTTTTGCATGGGAGCATTTGCTAACACACTTTCTAATTTTTTATTTTTCTTTCCTGTCCTTCGTAGGGGATATA